AGACCAGTCTAGGACTGAAGGGCCAGAAACACCACCTGAGTCAACTCTGATCTCCTCCAAGGACCTCCACCAGCACAGAAGCTAGGGACCACTCAGGGGTGGAACTTCCTCAGAACAAGAAAATTACTATGTCTCCTCTCCAAACATCACGAGTAGGCAGTCACTTCCCCTCCTCCACTACACCCCATTCAACAATATACAACCACCAGCACCACCTTTACATGAAATGAAGAGAGCCTATTAAAACCTTGGCCGTCTCTAATTTATTCCTGCAGATCAGGGTTGTCCAAAAAAAAAAAAAAAACCAAAATGTGAGCTGTGTGGTATAGTTTTAAATTTCTACTAGCCACATTTCAAAAGTAGAAAAAAAAGTGAAATTAATTTTTGTAGTATTTTACTTAACACCATACATTCACAACATTATCATTTTGACAAGTAATCAATATAAATGATTATTATTGAGTTATTTTTCTTTCTTAATACTGTCTTCAAAATTCTGTATTTTACAAGCTTAGAGGACATCTCCATTTGGACTAGTCACATTTCAAGCGCTCAATAGCCAATAGCCACACGTGGTGAATGATCCCTGAATTGGACAACACAGTTCCAGACCAGGGGTCCATAAATGGTGACCAGCATGAGCCAAGAATGGTTACTGCATTTCTAACTGGCTGGAAAAAAATCAAAAGAAGAATATTTCATGACATGTGAAAATTATATGCAATTCAAATTTCCATGTCCATAAATAAAACCGGATCAAATCATAGCCACTTTCACATACATGTTGTCTATGGCTGCCTCGTGCTACAATGGCAAAGCTGAGTACTGATGACAGAGACCTACGGCCCACAGAGCATAAAATATTATTACAGGAAATGTACGAAGAAAAAAACCTTGCTGATCCCTGTTTCAGTTGATCATGAGACAGCTGTGACCATGCCATATGAGATGTGCGGCCCCTGAGCCACAAAGTTTAAGCCAACGATTTTCCAGAATTTTTACTGCCTGAATGAGACACCATCTCAAAAAGTAACAGAATTTAGACACAAAAGCTCGTGTATAACCTCAAAACAGCTATTCAAAAGTACAACTAATACTGGGCTCCTATGCCTTCTGGACCCATCTTCCTTTCTCTCTGTGCAACAAAATAGTTGGGTCACGCACTATCTACATCTACATGTTTCCAACTGCGATGCTATGAATCTGGCACCTGCAGAAGAGGACTTACCAGTGCCGACCAAATGAAAAACATGGGAAATAACTGAGCTTATGCTTTAAAAAAATTTTTTTTTAAACTTTAAATACGTTATAATCACAGCAAAGTAGAAAAAGAGAATAATTGTGCATAAGAAAAAAGACTAGCATAATGAGACTATAGGTGATCTTTTTCCTACTTTATTCTTCATAATGAACTTTCATAACTTTCACTTTTACAAAGAAAAACGTTTAGACCTTTAAGAAACACCAGGATTTTACTTTTACTGGAGTTTTTTACTTTTAAATAATACATCTCTTAGAAACTTCCCTTATTTGTATGGAAAGTAATAAATATGTTTTCCTTCAAAATAAATTGAAAAACTCTTAACTGTATTCTGAAACCTGAAATGACTGACAATATGCCTGGTCCTATTGGGAGAAAGGGAAAAAAAAAGACAAGAAAGCATACTAATTCTTACCTAATTATTTTGCTTGCTTACTTACCTCACAAAAAGACTTAGCAAAAATTTAATTACATTTATAATTATTTAGTGAACAAAATTATTTATTTTAATTTGTAAAAGTTTATTTTCAGTCATCCACAACACAAAGTCTGTGAGATTTCATGAGTTTTTCTTCCCAATCCGCTAACATAAAAAGGTGTCTTGTCTCTATAACTCACTGCAGGTCACTGAAAACAAACTAGTTAATCTGACTTCTGTCATTGGTGAAATGAGAATGAGATTAAATTAGATAATTTAGGAAGCAAGGATAACAAATGTCAAACTAACAGGAAATAACTTCAAATTTGTTTTGGATATCACTATCAAAGAAATCCAGTGTAGAAAATAAAGTTACACATTTATCAAGTATTTTAAAATAGTCTAGGATACAAAATCATCATGGACCGAGACCCTTTATCTTCCTAATTCCTTAAATTATTCTCTACTGTAACCCTTAAATCAATACTCTACTGTAACAGATACTGTTAATTACTTCCTTTTCCAAGATCAACAAGAAAATGTGTGGCCTACTATTACTTTTCCCAAGTTCTCATATTTCTGTCCATTCTAAATCATAGTTAACACATTAAATAGAACCACTTCAAAATAGCTAAGAAATTCCACTCATGATTGTGTATTCCATTCTGATTCCAAATTTATAAAAGCAAATACACAAATGCAGTCACAAGATATTTTTAAAAAAAATACTTAAAGGAATTCTACATCACCTAAGCTAATATGATATAAACCAAATGTACATCAATAAAAATTAATTATAATTTAATAAATAAATAAACTATACATGAACAAGTAACTTTTTAATCCTAAAAGAAGGATACAGTTCGTTTCAATGTATAAGACAAATATAAATAGCCGACCAGTGGCTCCCTCCCTCCTGCCTAAAATGCCCACTCTGAAGGTAACTGTCTGGACCCCACCGAGGAGGGAGCGCTAGGGGCTGCTTTCCTGACGCCAAACCCTCCCCCAAGAAGCCCCGCCAGTTCCCAGCTCGCCCACCTCCCCTGGTCCCCACTCGCGCTGCACCACTAGAGAGACTTCTGCCGCCAGCTCGGCCCGCCGCCCGCCCGCGGCGCCCTCGCTGCCCCGGGATTCCAGGCGCCCTCTACCCCAACCCCACCGCTGCGGCGCCCTCCTGCCCGCGCCTCGCGCCGCCAGCCGGGTCCTCGCACCCGGTATGAGCGACTCCTCCCGCCTCCCAGCCGCAGCCCACGCCCCGTGCACGCAGCCCAGGCTCCCAGCGCCTTCCATCCATTCCCAGGAGTGGTCGGCCTACTTGCCCGCGCTGGGCAGGGAGAGGGGGTGCAGCTTGCTGCCGCCCCCACCCCCTCGTGCTGCGTAGCCTGAGCAGGGAGCGCAGCCCCTGGGCGGCCGGCGCCCCCTCCCAGGTTTCCTCGGATCCCCAAGCTAGCGGGGCCAAGAAAAAAAAGTCACCTCTCCGCGAAGCCCCGTTCGCTGCTCGCTCCCGCACCCGTGGGAGCCTCGGGTGCCGGAGCCCCGCGCAAGGCTGCCCCGGGGTCCCCGCCCCCCACCCAGCCGCCCTCGCGGAGCCCCCAGCTGTCCGTCTCGCCGCGCAGCCCTCGCCCCACCCCCAACCCCCAATGGCTCCCGCGACCCGCGCTGGGTCCCCTCGCGGCTTTGGCTCAGCGGCCCGCACCTTCCTCAGCGCAGACATCCTCGGGCGCTCCAGTTCAGCAGCTGCCTGGGGACATGGCCCGACCGCACCTCAGTCAGCCAGCCCAGGGATCGTCATCGTCGCCGCCGCCGCCGCCGCTCTGACGCACTGGGGCTCTTCGCACCACTGGGCTTACCAGCTGGCGCCTGCGCACTGGGCGCCCGGAGAGGCACCGCCCACGGAGCGCAGTGGGGGAGGCCGCGGGAGACAGCTGCAGAGGGGCGGGGCTCGCGCCTGCGGGAGCGCCAGGCCTCGCGCCCGTTACCCTCGCGGGCGCGTTCACCCTGGCCGCTTTGGCAGGCACGACTGGGGAGCGCGCGCACCTCCCGGCCCACCAACTGTTGCGTGGGGAAGGGCGAGTAAGGCGGGTAAAGCGGGGGTCTCCAAGCGCCGGAGGATGCCACCGCGTGCCCGCCGCCCCCGTGCGCGGTGCCAGCAGCAAGGCCCCACGTGCAAGGTGTGTGTGTCTATGGAGTTGTGTGTAGAGTTGTGTGTCTTCACCAGGTGTGTTTCATTCAAGTTGGACAAAGCAGCGTTCTAATTTGCAACAGCATGGGATTTTTTTTCCTCCTTTCTCTTAAAATAAGTGTCTGAAATTTGAAAAATTCATCTGAAAATTGTGACATCGTTTTGCAGAACGTCGATCCCCCATGTAGACTATCGATTGCCTCATTCTGTTCGCCGTCTCTAAAGTGGAGCTGGTCTAAGGAGTGTCCTCTATGCTGGCCGCAACCCCATGTAAATAAACCAGTTTAACGCCATTTTCCGTCCTCAAAAATAAAGCGTGTCCCTGTTCAGTGAACCCGAGAGCAGCAACTGTATGAAACCATGTTTATCGCCGGCATCGCTTAACCGCCCTGTAGACTGGGCCCACAGACGGCTCCAGCAGCAGCAAGGAATTGTCTGATTAAGGCGCTGGCCAAGGAAGGCCAGGTGGATGGCAGTGCCAGCGGCCGCGCGGTCTCCAGGCGGGTGGAAAGCCAGGCCCCAGGACTGGGCGAGGGTGGGGCGGGCGGACTGTAAGTGGGGCTGAGTGCTCACGCCAGGGGGTCCCTGCAAAGATTACTCCTTCGAGGAACAGGGCGCCCAGATGGCAGAACTCTTAATTATTTCACTCAAAGGAGTGATTTTGTTCCACTGAAGTAACACTGCTCATGTAACTTACTTTCACATGAGATGAACGATGCGGATTGGGAAATCGGTTTCCCTTTACTATTACCGTTGAGTCTTCCATGACACAGGGGTCACGGGTGAACATGGCTCACCCTCCATGGGCATGGGCATGGCCAAGCCTGCTGGGTAACTGATGCTCGGCATCTGGGACCAGGGATGTTGGACTCAGAGCCCTCTGCCAGCCTCCATCTCTCAGAGCGTTTGGTCCTGCCTGGCGTCCTCTGCGGGTCCTTGCTTTGCCTGCCAGTGGTCTGTGTCTCCACTAGAGAGGAATCCCCTCATTGGAAGGGGCCTTGTCAGGTTTTTCCACCATTGAAAAGGTGGCATTTCTGAGATTGCCTGACACACAGTAGGTGCTCTGTAAATCTTAGCTGAATAAAGGAATGCGTCATCTTATTTGTGAGATAAACCTCCCTGGTGGGCAGTATTATCTCCATTTTATAGATGAGAAAACTGAGTTTCAAAGAAGGAAATGTGCTCAAGGTCCCACCCCTCCTCTTTTATCTTCTGTGTTTAAAGTTAATACTGTCAATTACTCATGCCCTAAAGTGATCAAATCCAATTGAATTCTTTACTCCCACCATGCTCTTTCTTGTTGTGAACACACATTTAAGGTTAAACGATTTTATGAAAATAAAATCTTGGATACTCCCATAGAGTAAACCCTTTATTTAACAGATGTAAAGAAATACTAGTGCTGTTAGGTTCCCTTCTGTTCTGTCATCACTCAGGCCTGGAACTGGTCCTTTCTCCATGACTGAATTGAGTTCAAAACCTGCAAGATCAGAATCTCACAAATTTAGGATAGACACACAAGGCTTTCCCCAAAACACAGCAAGTCTTCTTTTACTCCCTTTATTTTGACTACTATAATTTTTTTAGGGAAAAAAGGAAGGTAGACTGTCCCTCTAAAGTGATTTTTTAAAAATCATGTTTTAGGTTTAAAACAAACTAAAAGTGCTCTGATAAAGCACTGCTGAGCCAGGAGTGTTCACTGCCCACCTAAGCTCACACGCACACGGGCGCTCAGATGAGTGTATGCACACACGCACAATTCGTTCTTAGATGTATCTTTTCTGCTAAAAAATTTTATGTTACGCATTTATTACATTTCCTAAGAATCTTACAAATCTTAATGTTGAATAGCTTAATACTTACTAATTTTCACCAAAGCTACTAACTTGTTGTCATATCCTTCCTGTCAATGTCACCGGCTATTCTTGAGTGATGACACACTCTTCTCACTCCTAACTACAATTGTTAATAGGAAAAAGTGGCTTTTGGAAGGAGGCAAGCTCAAAACCACAAAGGATCCTTGCAGGTGACCACTTGAGTGAGGGGTCAGGTGGGGCCAAGGGCAGGGTCTCATCTCCCAGGGAAGCTGCTTGCACGCCTGAACGGCACTCCACCTGCTGCGCTCAGTCCGATCCCCATCCTATACGCTGATTAAAACCACGAAAACATCACTTCACGGCCCACGAGCAAGTATCCCTCGCAGTCTGTGCAGAATCACGGTCCAGTAAACAGGCGCACCTCTGGCTGGGATGCCGGCCTCCAGAAAGTCACAGGAGCCCAATTCGGGGCCAAGAGTGGGATGGCCCAGCCCTCCCGCAGGCCGCTCGGCCCCAGGACAGGACGTCCAAAGGCCCGCGGAGGCAGGCAGATTCCAGGACAAGGCGTTCATTCCGAAATGCCTATTCCCACCCAGGCGGTGCCCTGCATTGAAAGGGGCCCCGCCAGCACTGCCCTCTGGAAGTTTCTGCCCCTGGGTTAACAGGGACTCTGGTCTTCAACAAAGAAGATCGGACAAACCAATTCTTGAGGAGGTGTTGGTTACTGATAAGTACTTAATGCGGGAGCCTTCTTAGGAGTTTTGCATCGTAATAGGAGCCATCCCTTAACTGAAGGCAATGAATTTCTAATGGTGGTCGCTCCAGGGTGTTAAAAATGAAATTTCAGGGTGTTGCTTCGAGGACTGAAACCCTAATCCAAAAGGCATTTCAAGTGCTTCCTCTGTATCCCTTCAACTGCATCTCTAAAACACATGAACATCTTACAAAAGATACTGTTCACTTTTCACCCTCATAAACAGTAGATTGGACCCCTGTTTTATGCTGTGACTTCTGATTCTGGGGTCCCTACTTCCCCCCACTCTGTCTTGCCGCTCTTGGAGCAGACTCTGCAGACCAGCGAGGAAGCAGGGAGTAGCGGGGAGTTAGCGAGGCTCCCCGTCTGCGTTTTTACCAGGCTGGATGCAGTCGGCAAAGGTCCACCTTTTAAAGAATCAGCATCTTCAACACTTCTGTTTTATTGTTTTCATGGCCAGTCATTCACGAGGATTTCTTTGTGATGAAACAGGTTCTGATTGATTTTTCTGTTGAGGGCCGTTCTCTGCTACTGTGGTCATGTGTGGCGTGTGTACTTACATGTGTGTGCACACAGGGGTGTGTGGCGTGTCCTGTGTGGGAAGGACACACTAAGGACAATGACCTCAGTGGTATATGCCCCTCCTCAGATTTTAGTCTTTGTCACGGTCCCCCATCCCCACTGTGGTCCCCCAGCACAGAGGGTGGGACAGGCCTGCTTTGCCCTGTGTTTTTAGGGTCACTGCTTGTAGTACTCCAAGGCCAACACCAATTCCAGCCAAGACCCCATTTTCCATTCATGACATGGGGACCCAAACACCCACTTGGGGTGCGATTACACGGCTTCAAAGGCGAGGACATGGCTGATGGTGGTCAGAGGGTACGAACGCCCAGTTATGAGGTGAGTCAGCTCCGGGGACATACTCGCGGCTCGGTGACCACAGTTAACAACGTGCTACCGTGTTTCTGAAATCTGCTGAGAGCCGATCCTAAACATTTTCATCACAAGAAAAACAAATACATAACGATGTGAATGGCCAGATGTCCACTACACCACCTTGTGGTGACCATTTCGCAGTACACATTTGTATCAAGTCACCATGTTGTGCCCGTTAAACTTATACAACGTTATATGGCAGTTTTATCTCAATAAAACTGAAAAAAAAATTTTAAAACTAAAACGAGGCAGAGGATGAAAACTGCCCACAGCCTTTGGCTGCAATCCCCAGGCCTCTGCCCCCCACCCCGGGACCCGCATCACCAGGTTAGAGCGACTTCCACAACTGACAGCCAGGCCCAGGGCTGCTGTGCATCTGCCTGGGGACCCTGGGGACAGGATGCCCAGGCCGGGAGCCGTCGCAGGTTGCACTGTAGCCTTGAGGTCTGCACGCCCCACAGACGAGCTCTGAGGGAGTTTCTGGGAAAAGCCAAAAGTAATTTTGCTCATGAGAAGTCCTGAATGACTGCTGATAGTGCAGTTAACTTCCCAGAGATCTGTGCATACGGAATGGAGATCCAACAGCTTTCTAATGAAAGAAGTGCGAACCCTCCACCCAAGGCTCAAGGTTCCAAGCCTGGCTTCACCACCCCTGTGCTTTGCCAGGTGGCCCCTGGTGTTGATCACCTTGGACTCATCCTCAACCTCAGTGTAACTGGGGTCCCCAGACCATTAGCACTGTGTCATTATAAGAGGTTGTCTGATTGCAAAGAAGAGAGAATCAGAGCAGAGAGGGGAGGCAGAGATGAGAATAAGGTTGTTATTGGTTAAAACAGTAGGAGTCTTGAGGGGAGGCTTGTGGAGACATGGAGACGGGAGCCCCTGGCCCAGGGGTGCCATCCTGGTCCTCTCTCCTTGGGCACCACGTGCTGTGTTTGGCCAGCAAGTGATTCTGTTCTTGTATTTCAGGACCAGCCTCCGACCAGGCCAGGGGGATCCTAAGTCCCAGTTGGTTTGTGAGGTGCTCCATCTGTTTCTCCATACAGCTGCCTCATTACTCCACTGACTTTCTCACCAGAGCTCTGCTGTTCAGCGAAATTGGGCCCAGCGAGGCGGAGCCACATCTGGAGAAGCTCATCTGTCCTGACTGGGCTCCAGTGACACCCACAGGGCCGCGA